ATATATATATATATATATATATATATATATATATATATATATATATATCACTTAAGGTAGTTTTTGTGTAAGTTTTAACCGAAAACTATAAAAAAAGCATACACAACATTTTTATCAACCAAAAAGTGACTCCAAATTATTATTAAACTTTTTTTCGCATTTAACAATTGAACATCTAGTTACTGTTTTGTTTTTCTTACCTGCATTTTTAAAATTTATGGTATAAAATAGTTTTCTTCCTTAATGTAATCTAGTCCTCAGTATTACACCATTAAGTTTTTGTAATATAATTTGATGAACAATACTTTTTTTAATATGAACGTTTGAAGGTTCTCATAAAAAAAGAAAAATCATATTCTAGTGCCCTCTTTTGGCTATCTCAGTTGTTCATTTGATTTACTTTAGTAAAACTTTAGTATGTAATTTGCTACACAGAACATATTTTCTCGCATTATATTATAACTGTTCTGGCAATTGTAACTACTCAGGAATATTATAATTCTAAATTCATCTTTAAAAGTATTTTCAAACAGCAAACATTTTTTTCGCATCAAGATTCGAACTCAGGTCCCCCGAGCAAACTCGCCATGCGCCTTACATCTATTCCAAGCACCCGCCCTGGCTTACTAACTCGTGCCGACGTTTAAAAATCTGTCTCAGTCCAATATTACCAACGCTTCTGACAATTTAAAAAAAATTACAGATGTTAATGAAAAGTATATCTCTACTATTTTTTGAAGCGTCACATGTTTTCTACATACAAAAATCGAGTCATTTTAACGGATTTTTGCATCAATTTCAAGCACAAATTACACAAAACTAACAGTTTTTTTTCTAAAAACTGCACATGACCTTTTTTAAAGATCTGGCAGATTCACTTCAACAGACTTTGTCTAAGATAAAAATCTATTTTCAATTTTGTAGTTTGAAATGATAACTTTTTGCAATTCGAAAATAAGGATAGTTCGCTGAAAATGGATATATCCTTTACCGCCCTTTTTATACATACAAGGAGAAAATTTAAAGAAAAATATTGTTGTCATTTACGAGAAAAAAATTTACCTATATTTGACGTTAAATTAGATGAAAAGTGAACATGATGCGCACTTTTGAAAAATTCTAAAAGACCTTATTTCAAGAATTAATAAAAGAAATAAATATCATCTTCTAGCTATTACATCAGATAAATTTAAAAAAAATCACCTGTTTCTCGCCCAAGAAATACCTCCTTCCTCTCCTAGTTGGTGAAAGGAGCCTAGCAAAATTTGTGTGGTCAGACGGAAGAGCGAGCCTGATTGCCCGAGTCTCTCCACGTAAAATAAGGCATTAATTCAATTCAATTCAATTCATCTTCAATATTGTAGCCGTAGGAAGACGCCTTAAAAAAATCGAACTTTTGCAATTTTCAAAAAATCAAAGATTTTAATTAAAATGAGACCTGCACCATTCTCTTTTGCGTAGTTTACGTTATGCAGGGACTTAGTATAATAATAAAATTTGATGACCATTTAAGAAATTTTAAAAATGTTTCTGAGGCTTACGAAAAATACTCCTAAAAATCAAAATATCCATTTGGAATTCGCAAAAGTTCGACTTTAATGAGATCGATCACATAAGATCAGATGTAGAGAAAATCGGCTAAACATTTTAGTCAATAGCGATGACCATAGACAGATGGACAGACAGACAACAGAGCCATACGGGGTGGAGGAACAAATAGGCAGAAGGACAGATGGTCAGTGAGACAGAACGACAGGCACAGAAGGACAGGCGAACAAAGGGACCAGCGGCAGACTGACAGAGGGACAGGTAGACAAGGGACACACGGACAAAAACACAGAGGGACGGAGAGACAAACGGACAGAGGGACAGCGAATAGAGAGACAGACGGATATTGAGACAGACAGATAGAGGGACATACAGATAGAGGGACAGACGGATAGAGGGACAGACGGATAGAGGGACAGACGGATAGAGGGACAGACGGATAGAGGGACGGGGGGACAGACGGGCAAAAATTCAGACGGACCGATTAACAGATGGACAGAGGTACAGACGGACCTACCGATAAACGTTCTGACATCCCTCGTGTCATCGGTGTCAGGGGCACACAGAGCATGGATTGAGACTATAAAACGCGTTATAAGAAGCCATTATATACATATTAGCCAGATATATACACTATTTCCTTACCAGGGAACGGCAATGAGAGTTTTCGGTCAAAATTTGCTTTTCAGGACGTATTATTACAACGTTTTGTCCTTTTATTCGTAGTACAAGTGGGAAAGTAAAAACCATTAAAATGAACGAGGGAAATGTCTGAAAATTCTGTCGTTTGCTCTGGCATCATAAGCAGTAGGTATTAGGTTCCAATCCTGGTGCGCGCAAATTATTTTACACTTTAAAACTCTTTTAAAAGTATACTGCATAATACACTGAAGCGAAATCCAGAACTGCCATTTGTATTAAAACATTCATATTTTATCATCCCTTGTGACTCGTTTTATTACGAATTTCTAAAGACAAGGATATAGTTTACGTTGCATAGCAGATGCTATATGATAATATTACAACGTTTAATTGTGAACAGTGAATATGACACTCTTTGTCCAGAAATCATTTATAATATATTTATATTCATTATCAATTTTTATAAAATTACTAACGACTGAATAGTTTTCTGATCTTTAAATTTAATTGAAATATTTTTTTGCAGATTTATGTTCATAGGACTGTGGATGTACCTATTAGTAAGCGTGGAATGTCTAGAAGAAGTGCTTTGGGACGGTTGCGCGTCTAACTATGCTGTAAAAGATGTTGATATTTGCTACAATTTAACGGCTCCCATGGATGGTGTCAATGCCTGGCGGCATTGCCCGTCAATAAAGTTAGTATAATTTTATTTTATGATCTGACATAACTTGCACATTTTCATAAACGTAGTGGAAAAAAATATTGTAATATTTTAAGAAATGTGTAGATTTTGAACTATAAGAGATTTTCAAAGTTCTGTAACCGACTTGACATGATGTTAATTAAAGAACTAATTGTGATGATCAAATATAATTTAAAAAGATGGCCATCTTGAATATTGTAGTTGTAGGAAAACGCCAAAATATCCAAACTCCTGTTATTTTCGAAAATTATGAACTAAGGTGAATTTCGGACATATTCTATCTTTATAAGTAGGTTTCACTGTAATATTACAAGAAATTCACATGAAAATGTGCAGACATTTTTGAGAAAATTTTGAAAATGTCACAAAGGCTTCATTAAAAGAAACTCCAGAATTTAAAGAATGTTTTTCGAAATAACATTGCTGTGACGGGGCAGATCGACAGGCGAATATTCATTTTGATAAAATTCCTACAATTAGTATAGACGCCAGTGCTGTTAACAGACGGACGACATACACGCGGAAGAAAGTCATTTTCGATACCTCTCTTAAACTGGCACTACCAAAATCGGTTACCACAAAATCAAAAATGCCACCATTTAGAACTATTACTAAATGGTGAGCTAGGTTAAGATTAAGCTTCCACTATCACAATTAGCTAACACGAAACCTAATATGCGTTATTGTAGAGAATATTAATTGCTAATTAAATTCGTAAAAATAATATAATTACTCTTCCAACTACCGAGTAATTAACGGTATACTAGCTCTTAAGATTTAAACTGGCACTATCACAATGGGTTACCACAAAACTAACAGCACTAACTAAACTAACTAAACACTAACTAAACACCACTAACTAACTCTTGTAAAACAATTTAATTTCTAATTAGTTACATAAAATTAGTTTAATTGCTCTTCAAACGTTCGAGTAGTTAATGGCAAACTAGCACTTAAGATTTAAGGTGGCACTATCACAATGGGTTACCACAAAATTAAATACGCCATCTTCTAGAGAAATTTAATAGGTAATTAATTCGGAGAAAAATAGTTTAATTGCTCTACAAACCTCGGAGTAATTAATGGTAACCTAGCACTTAAGATATAAACTGGCACTACCACAATGGGTTACTATAAAAGTAAATACGACATCTTGAGCAATTTAATTGCTAATTTCTTACGCAAAATTTATTTAATTGCTCTTCAAACTTTTGAGTAAATAATGACTGGTCAGCTGACGTGACGCAGTGGGCCGCCGCGCCGCCAGCGCATCAGTCGGCCCTAGCGCCACCGCCGCGCCCGCGGCTGATTGCGGCAGATTTAAATGAAATGCACGGACTGGCCGAGAGCGGCCTTCGATATTGTATTTTCTTCGACCATCAAACCAAAATGGTCGAAAAAAATCAAGCCAATACTCTGTCGTGTTCATAAAGATCCTCCATCAACTTTAATTACGATCGCTTAATTACGATCTCCTAATTACAATATGCGTGTCTTAATCTACGGTATGTTGGTAAAGATTTGATTTTATCATAGTTGTATCAAGTTAAAAGTCTATTTTGTTGGAATTGTGGGGTTCGAATTGTTTATCGCGAAACATTGCCAATCTGCTACAACCCCCTATCAGGAAGTATTTTATCACGTGACTAAGTGTTCATTCACAGTCGCAAAATGGTTAGTAACTCAAGTTTTGATTTTCGACATTCTTTGTAGCATATACTTGTTTTCAATCAGTAAATCGATTGACGACTTTTGCACATTTGTAGATGTTGAATAAGTTTGACGTACTTTGAGTTATTGTCCATAATAATTGAATTGAGAGTTTTTTGTTTTAATAGTTCTCCACACAATCTACACAGAAGTTCAATATATTTTCTTCTTCTTTTTTGTGTAAATAATGTTTGTTATAATACTACATGTTTCTCATCATAATTCTACGCGAAAATGTTAATATTAATTCTACATTAAATACAACTATGTACAATAACAGTAATCTAATGAAATTAATAAAAACTAGTGGCCTACAGCAACAAATATGCTGTTGAATCATATTACACAAACTGGTTCTTCATAAAGCATCACATACACTGCACATAAAAAACAACTAAAATACTCTCATATAACAAGTATTGTATTATACACTCTCCTATCAAATCTTTTAGAAAACACTAAAGAATACTGCAATATCATCATATAGTATATTCGGATAAACATTATAACAGTTGTTTACATACCAAGAATATCATACAAGTCGTTTCATAATGCAACAGGTAAATTGCAAATTTTTAACAGTATGTGACCTCTTTCTTGAATCCTTGCAGTTGCATGACCTCAGATTTGTTCTCAGTAGTGATGCATTAAGTATGAGGATTATGTTTGTTCACCCTGTGTGGAAAAGGCAGAAAAACACAATCAATTTTTTGCATTTTTTAGACAAATTTGAAAATGTTTAAATATTTTCCTCAAGATCCTGGGTATCTAGTGGATTCATGGAATCACACTGTCATAAGCAACTTAAGTTTTTTCTCAATTGTGTATGCATACAAAAATAATAACAATTATTATATTCAATATCATTGCATTTAAAAAAATGTAAGTGAATGACACAATAATCACACGTATTGAAGAAATGAGGATTACAAAAATTAATGAATTTATAATTTTTTAATAGTTGTAATTGACAATTAGATCACTCTCCAATATAGAATTTTGGTTTTGTGGTAACCCATTGTAGTAGTGCCGGCCAAAATCTTAAGTGCCTGTTTACCATTAATTACTCGAAAGTTTGTAGAGCAACTGAATTAATTTTTACAACGGGGTTACAAGTGGGAGAGAGACTATTGAAATTACTCCAAATTCGCGTTACGTAATATATGGGCGGTCCCTTATAAGTAAGCCTCCTATAAATTAAAAGTAGTGTAAAATCTTACTATCATCCATCTGGCTGGCTATTCGTCTGTCTTATTGTCAGTGAAGTCGTTCGTCTGTCTGACCATCTTTAGAAGTTGTGTTTGAGAGAGGTAATATGTGCCCATGTGTGTGAATGTGAGCGACAGAGAGAGGGGAAAAGAGACAACAATAGAAACAGGAAGATATAGAGAGCAAGAGCTAGCTAGCTAGCTAGATAGGATAGATAGAGAAAGAGAGGGAGAGAGAGAGAGATAAAATGTATGTGTGTGTGAGTGTGTGTGTTTCATTGAAATTTAAATTCTGTGTAGATTAACGCCGGACTTCATTAAACCACCAATAGCTGGTCGGTTTCTGGAGAGGCTGCGGTCATTAATGAAGGCACTTCACTTAAATGAAACTAGCGTTTGGGTGGGCGGCATTCAAGCCTACTTTGATTCAACTAATTATGTGACTTATAAAGGTACATTTTCGACATCAAACTTTTCGAGTGAAGATTCTGGCACTGGCCAGCGGTGTCTTTCCTTGAACACTACAAAACCCGAAGACACCAAAGACACTGAAGAATTCCGTTTAATCGGGTAAGTTGTTTTCTTGTTATAGCTTCCATTTTATGTGCAGTTTTAGATTTCTTAACTTTTCGCACGTACTTGACTCCTTAACCCTTACACTCTGTTTGGGATCTTTTTTGCCCCCAGGTCCAAATAATGTTTCGCAACATTCTGAAAATTATTTACATGAACGTCTTCTTTTAGATATGCTATTTACGTCCAGTTTTACATTTGCCTAAGTTTGTTTCTAAGTTGGAAATACTTTGATTTTTATGCGGTTGGAGTAAAAACCACTACATTCGACATCTAAATCACAAGAAAAAAATCTAAAAACGTATCAATTTTCGTTTTATAATATTATTTTGCAATTTATGAGTGATAATGTGGTGTATTAGCTTAATACAATTTGGTAGCCCTGTTTCAAACATTATCATGCTGGTAAGACCTATGCTTAGTGATGAGAATATGCCATATACTCTTCTGGAAATAACGTTATTTTTGATATTTAGTACAATATAGTAAATAAATCAAATAAGTAGAATCGTTTTCTCAATTAATAATTCCTAGTAACATTCTTGCATCAAATACTTGTAAATTATTGTGTAAAACGTTTGGGGTCACAAAAGACCCGAAACAAGAGACCACGTAAGTGTTTGAGAAACAGAGTAGAAGATCGAAGCGCAACCGATGCCGTTTAATATACTCTTAAGGAGACAGCCCCATCGTTAGGGGCACTCAGGAGTTAAAGGGAAATTATAACAATTAAAGAAAGTATAGAGATTTACCAAGATATTTTATTGGTTAAAGGAAAATATTGATTTCAAATTGCTTTTCTTACTGTCAAATATAAGGAGTAATGTAAATACATTTTCTAGTGGATTCAGTAAGTTCCTGTACATATTTAATTTGGTTTATATCATTGAAGATATCGTCAATATTAACTTATTCTTTTAGATTATATGCTGTAGTTAGTTTAGTAAGATGTCTTTTTAATCAAATTAGTTTACTTTTGAAAGGATGAGTCAAAAGGGGGAGTTTTTTTCAGAGTTGGAAAGTCATTGACACAAATCATCCAGAAAGTCCATTGATGTTGGTTATGGGTTACGAATGATATCAAGAGTGCAGTCTTGTAGCTGGTCTTGTATTGTTATTAGGAACTGATTAGTTCACAGTGTTGTTCAATGTGGCTACCTTATTTGCAGGTAAAACGTGCAGAGTTCTCAGCTGAAAAATAAATACGGAAAGTAAAATAAAAGTCTATTATAATTTTTTTCAGGCAGTGTATTATCAACTTGTTCTATGTATAATTGCATCCTAAATGTCGTTATGTTGGAGAAGCCAGTCTCTGACATGTCAGCTTTGATAAAGGTCGATATCTTGGAAATATTTCTGATACTATTTTCTCTAAGTTTCTTTTGATTTCATGAGCTGTAAAGAGGTTCACATTAGAGACATCTCTTTTCAGTTTGCTAAAAAGTTGTCTAACACCTAATTCATATCTTTTAGTGTATATAGTTTAATACTTATATTGTAGTTAATATTTTAGGTTGCCAATTAAATCGTCAGTTTTTCTTTTCGACTAGGAAAAAATATTCATTATCTGTTATTTGAGAACTTCATTTCAATTATTTTACTTGCAACTTTAGAGATGTAGACCTTTATTGACTACCGTTCTGAAGCTTCTATTTGAAATGAAAACACTTCAACTGATGTAACATGAACGTATGCTTTCGAGACGCATTCCTGTTGTGGGTTAGATTGAAGGTTAGAGTTCGCCTGCAGTCGGAAGAAACCTTTTGCCAAGTTGCTAGCAGCAAGTGCAGTTGTTTTCTTGACTGGACATCGTATTTTAGTATTTAGAATGCGACAACTAAAAGCGGAACTTTCAGGGCATATTCAGCGTGTTAAAAGTTCAATTTTTAGCACTAATGCTACAAGAAAGAGAAAACGCAAGTGTTTTGATAAATCTGTGAATGCACAAAGAAAACCAAACACTTTCTTCACCAACAGCTACTACTGACCTTGGTGTAGCATTAAGTGTTTTTTTATATTTGAATTAAAAGCGATTTCATTTTGCTCATAGAATTGTGTCAACCGGCCTAACGGCAACGTGTCGCAACATTTCCTAATATGTCGATAATTAAAAAATCACTTTTAAATATAACTTATATCATAAATAACTATTTTATTTACGAGTGGTTAACACTGCCACGAAATATTTCATTGATACTCTAATGATACTAGTATAAGCACACTAATCTCATTACTACGAAGAGAAATGCCAAAATTGAAAATATTGTTATTAATTTTTAAGTGTGTGTTTATTTTTCAGGCGTGATTGTGCCAAAGAACTACCAATGGTGTGTGCGTTTCCAAAGTTTGTTGGAGTTCTTCACGAAGCGGCAGGACCGCAGGCATGCAACTTCCCGAATGCAGTAGTTTTGGAGCCACTTAAATTTTGTTATGAAAATACAAGGGCTTGTAGGGGGACCATCATCACTGTTCTTCCTACTTCTGACGGAAAACTCTCGGCGAGAAATCCAGTGAATGTTGAAATATTAAAAATGAGAATAACTGGAAAATTGTACCTGAAAACTAACGAAACAGTAAGTGTCCGAAAGAGAAATTTGATTTTTTATGGTAAGAAAACTTATTATAAAAGAGGCTTAAAATCAAACGTATTAAAAGACTGGACGGAGAGAAAATACATTTTTGAACTCATTGATAGAGTTCGGCCAATGTAAAAAATTAAAAAGGCTTATAATAAGCAAAGTTTAAAATAAATCAGATCTGGTTCAAGAAAACTAAACTTTGTAGAAACGTCCTGGTGTAAAAGTGTTTCAGTGGTTCGCCAATCGACGTAATATAAAAATTATTGACAAAACGCCTGGATCAGTACAATATTAAAATGTTTGGCATATATTAAAAGAGCAGCTGTATTAAATATTTCCCCCGCCGTCCGCAAAAATTGTGTAGAATATTGCACTTCGATGTTGAGGTGAGAGGAAATCTCCGTCCCAATATCTCATTGGATCTATTAACCACGACGACGACTAGTGAATATCTTCAGTTAATTTGGTGATGTTCGTAATAATAATAATAATAATAATAATAATAACAACAACAACAACGATCCGGGTAGCCGTGGTTGGTTAAGGCTGCGGGTTCGGGTCCCGCCTCACGCGTGGTTGTGCTTGTGTGTGTCTTCGTATGTTTGTGATTGTCATCATCATTTCCGTACATCATCCTTGGGCTAGGAACACTGGGGTGTAAAAATTCTGATTCCCTCCAACAAAAGTCACGTGTATACTCCCAGGAAAAATATGACTGGGCCTCGACTGCACGTTCACGTGGTCCGTAGATGTCCAATTCGCGCCCCCCCCACACACACACACATACAAAAAGACTGGGCAACCGTTGCCCGAAGGGGCTGCAGGTTCCCGTCCTGCTTAGGCATGATCGTGTTTGTGATTGTTCTTTCACCACTCGTAATCATCTTATCACCTCATAATCCACAAAGTACATTAACCCACTCGGAGTTCAGGACGCCGCCGCCTTCTTAGCGTAGTGTGAGTGGATGCTGTGTGGTTGTCTGCAAGTGTTACCTAGAAGGTAAATTGCTGTAGCTGTTACGTTTCTGTTACAGTACACGAATGCTACTGACATTTGCTTCAAATCGAATGCCCCACGTGATTCAATTATAACAGCAATACGTCTCCAACTACAATATAACAGGTGAGTTCTAAACATACGAATTTTACTTCCTGAAAGTGGCGTGTAAGACTGTGGCTCAATCTTTTTATTTTATCGTATACGTAGTAAAGTACATTCGTGTGCAATCTGATAATTTAAATTAAATAGATTTCAGCTACTAGTAAAAGCTGTTCCTTTATGAAATACATTGCGTGCTCAAAGTTCTATTTCTAATAATAGTGCCAAAAGTAGCCCTAGGTTGCTCGTTGGTTAGCTTCCTCGCAGCTCATAGTATTACAAATCAAATTAAGGTAACTCTAAATATATTTCTAAGAACTAATCTATTATACCGGCTTATTACTAAAGAATAAATTCATAGATATTTGAAGTCCAAAACGAGAAAAAAATATAACCGAATTAACCAACAGTTTTTTAAACAGCCTACATGTATCCCCAAATGCCATCTTATCAACTTGGAGAAAAGTAGTCTCTCCACGAATGAATCAAGAATAAATTCATAAATATTCAGTTCCTCCTGTAATTGCTATGCAGCCCTCGGTGGCTCGTTGGTAAGCGTGCTTGCTTTCCACGGCGCAACCTCGCGTTCTATTCCCGACCAGAGCAAAATAATAAATATGCGATTCCTTAAAAATGTGCCTATTACTGTGAGACGATGAGAAACCCCCTAAGGGCATGAGGACGAGTATACTCGGTGGAGGGATGTCTTCGTACTAACCACACGAACCCCTTATCCCATGGCCGAGAAGTTGGGCCTCCGCTGGTCCCAAGAGTATAGAACGTTAATGTAAGTTTCCAAGAATTCGTGGTACAAAAATAAACACAATTAGAACGAAAGGGTCTTTGGCGTACTTATTTCAAAATGTCGGTCTTTGCTCACTCCTATCGTCCCCTCGTCCATTAACATTTCATTCGTACGCCAAAGACTCACTTACTCTACTCGTTATGTGAATAGCTATTTATTACTGTCAACAGGACGGCGGGAGGTCTGACGCTGTGGGTGAGGAACCACCAAAATGCTGTGTGGCCACCCAAATGCGTGGGAGGAGAAGTCCAAGATCCTGACGAAGACCCTACGGCACTGCTGATTGCTCCGTCAGGAGGCAGTTTGGCCTCCCCCGTGATTTGGTGTTACGCGAAGAACTTCGTTACTGGTTCTATCGCATTTTCTAACAGGTGAAACAACATTAAATACACGTTGTCCGCAGAACAAATACCAGAACTCCGTGCTTATTCAGCATTACATATCACAGTTACTTACTAAATATGGTAAATTAAAACTTATAATTAATTACTAATTAGTTTTAGATACCAGACAACATCTTTAATTTACCATATTTAATTATTAGAAGGTATCTACATCACCAGCGTTCTAATTAATAGTTACTTTTGTATGTTTTGAGTCCCTTTTTCACGTTTCTACTGCATAATTGTTTTTAAAGTTCCTGCAACATACGTCATATCAATAATGACTATTTCTTGATTCTAAATAATCGAAAACGAAAATATATTATTTTCTTTATTATTGCCATGCCAGGCTCATATATAAACTAATTCAGTAAACCTTCTTTTTCGTAAACTAATTCAGTATTCCTTCTTTTTCGTAAACATTATTATATTGCCGGCTAGTATGGAATTATATTTAAACTTCTACATTTTCTGATTCATGGATATCGACATACGACAAAGTACTACTTACGTTGCCGTTCGTTGTTCTGGATAAACAAATGTTCATATTAATTGCAATTCACTACTAAATAATCAGCCTTATTTCAAATAAAATAATATAACATTTATTCATAGCTATCATTGAAGAATGGTATTAAACTTTGAGCTCATTTTTGTTTCATACATAATTTCGTATTTAATAATGACAGGTTCTTTTGTGCAATTCCTATTAGCACTATTCTGGATTAAAACCGCAAAAGATGTAATTTGGTAATAGTATGTCGTATTGTTTTCGATTTCTGTCGCAGCGCGTGCTTCATCGTAACCCCTCTTTTCTGGCCACGACGCGTCGCGACGCTCCGCTGTTGTATAGTGGAAGTCGTCTACGAAACAATGCCCTGCAGTTCAATATTTGACGGATGATATTATCCCTGCACGTTTTCTTGAGCCCTCATTTCGCTAGATGCCAGGGGAGTGGGGCGTTTGATTACTTTATTGACAGGGCTATTGTATGAAACCTGTAGCTCGTTTTTCGATGCAAACTACTCGTATTTTCTATTAGACGGAAGTAAGCACTTCTGGTAATCAGAGTTTGTTAACAAAACGTGTGGCTACCATTTATTCTGAATTACACTGAGGAGTAAGTGAAATGTGCCGGTGCTGAAGAAGACGTGCACGTAAAATACCAGTGTTGTGGTACCAATTAAAATTTTTAAGCACCACACTCTCAGAAAATTTTTATGAAACTACACTCTATGGAGTAAGGTCAAATGAGCAAAAATAAGTAGACACAAACGACAATGCAAAGAAACGCTAAAACTAAATACAATAGTCTATTCACAGTTCAATCATTAATTTTGTAAGTCTAATTACTACGCACAGTTGTTTCGTTTACATTTGAAATAAGTGAAAAATAATACATGAGACTATGAAGAGAATCAATTTATGTCTCATGCCGTGCATATTTCCAATATTTTAATCGATATTCTAAAATTCTAAATTATTTACGTCTATACGAGTAAGAAGATTGTTCATCATTTTCTATACCATAAATATAATAATATATGTTTATATCTATTTCATAAATGTAATAAATATTTATAAATATTACTATAGACTAATATATCTAATTTGGCATGTTCTTGTCGGAGTGCTTAAATTCCTAAATATTTATTACGCTTCTAAATTTTCGGACCACACCCCTTTTAAACTGGTATAACACCAATGGTAGATCTGGAAATACAACTTTAAGAACAATAGAAGGGTAAATAGTTTACGCAAATTTTCGTTGAATCAATTGAAGTTGTTTTCAAGAAAATATTGTTTGAGTGTTTCTAAAAATACCATTTGAGCTCATTTTGACAGAAAAGTTTTGAGTTTTTGAGTAACTCCATTTGAAATAAATTGAAGCACTTGTTCTCAAACTGCCGTTAAGTACAAATAACGCCTTTAATATAAATATTAACGACGTGAAAGATATTCAAGAAAAATAAGGTTTGTGTAATTTTTGAAAAAACAATTTTAAATGTGTCATTTACATTCGAGCGTTTATGAAAATTCGGAATTTTGAGTAAATTTTCATAGAAAACGTTTGAGTTTTCAAGAATTTATATAAACATAGTTTGAAACACATATGCGTATACATGCTATAATGCATACAAATCGCAGGAAATGTAAAAACTAATGACTGGAGAGATATTTCAAAATAATTACATTTGGGTAGTTTTCGAAAAACAAAGGAATGCAGAAAAATAGCGCTTGTCATCTTATAAAGTAAGAGTCGGGGTTATATGTCCCAAATAACTGAAAAACTAGAGCCTGTAAAGTATTATGCATATCTGATGATACTCCATGTTTTAAATTTTAGAAGATGGCATAAAATCACACGCAAGCATTTTTTTGTCCAAAAAATCTGAAAAGCAGAATTATTTACGAATATTCTAGGAATTTAATTCTGGATTGAAATTAGTAACATCTTACTCTTATGTACAACAATCCTGTAACCTGCGTGTGTATGTGCGTCCGTCCATCACTATTCAGTTATGTAACAATGTAGCATTAGTAATTAACACCACTACAAACACTTCAAGTATATAGTTAGATTTACGATGTACTTTCGTGTTGTTACAGAGTAATGAGACCTAATATATCTAGAGAAGATACCTGCCATCATTTTAAAGCAGATGGTAAGTTGTAAAATATTTTTATGTTGTATCATAGATTTTATCTCAATCATTGTTTATGAATTTATTTTTTTAAATACCCTGGATGAAATTTCATATATTTCATATATACAGCTTCATAAAAATGTGAAACATGTATTTGTTTTCAAATAAATGATTTTGCAATATTGCCCCTATATAAATGACTTTGCAATATTTCCATGCGATGAATATACGAAGTATATTTGAAAGCAAATTCATAATCAAAGGTTAAGAATAACAAAAATAAGCGTGTTGCGAAGAGGGGGTAGTGTGAGGACGGGCGTGTTCCAACTGGAACAGCGCACCAATCTCCCGTTGCAAGAAAGGTATCAGTACAGGCCGCACAACGCGCTGGATGTATCCACCGTTGGTCACTGATCCCTCCACGAACACCACAGACGAATGCGCGTTGTAGCTGATGGCACTTCGTGATGGGCTCTACGTGACGTGGGCAAATACGCTCCGGACACACGTGCTCGCCTGTTCGACGCCTCACACGCACACAACCATCATCACTGGCGTGCAAGTACAAATGGCTCTCATCAGTGAACACCACTGCACGCCATTCCGTCTCCCAGCTAACCCGCACATTGCACTACGCCAGAAGTGCCCGACGATGATTCGGCGTGAGTGGCACTCGGGCTAGCGGTATGCGCGATTGTAATCCTGCAGCTCGCTGCAAACAGTGTCATCGATCAGGGGTTCTCATCTCAGTTGACCATTCTGTTCATTAAAGTTAAAACTTTAAAGTTTCAAGTGCACTTCCTTTCATGGATTTCATAGGATATTGCAATGTTTCTAGGTTCTAAACTCGTATTCGTAAACGAGAGGGCTTCCTGCCTTCGTTGCCTCAAAATGGCTATGAGCAAATGTCCAGAAGACACTGACAAATCGTGCGTTCCACCCTGTGATGAGAAAAAGGGCTGCGGTCATTTCAAGATAACGCTTGACGAATGGATGAATTCTCTGAAACGAGATGGTGGCTTTAAAGGTAAGTTCTTTGTTCAAGTCAATATTAAAGCATATGATAAAGCTAGTGATGCTAGAATATCACATACATTCTCGCATTATTTCTAAGTTTGTAAGTTTCGAAAATTGGAAGAGTTCAGCGCCATTGCTTTAAGTATCGTTTGTTCTATTCGCGAAAGAAAGAAAAAAATTAGAGCGGGTTTTCAAATAAAATATGTTAATTTAAAAACAATTAACTATATTTAATGCCAAATTACACGAAGACTACTCATATTTTTTTTAAAAATTGAACGTTAACTTATTTAAAGCTTTGTCTTTAAGGAACAGATTTCACTAAGGAAATAATCTCTATCATCAATATTATAGTTGCACAGGAGGCCCAAAAAAAGAGTTAAGAAAAACAATTAAAAAAAAGTTTTCAATGAACCTGAGACCTGCAAGATTCTCTTAATCGTCCTTTACACTATCGGAAGAGAAATTCTAATCAAAAAATTAGATACCATTTTTAAGATAATTTTGAAAAAGTTTCTGTGACTGCGTGTAAAGAACGCCGAAAAATGAAAACATCCGGTTGAAACTTCCAAAGGTTTAACTTCATTTAGAGCAATTGTGGATTATCAATTTTGAAGAAAATCGTCCAAGCGGTTTAGGTGAAGCGTGGACCACAGATGGACAGGCAGACTTTTGCAATAATTTAATTTTTTTGGTATCAAAGACCCATTAACACGCATTCGTGCTACACCATGTGTTACAGGAATTTTTTCTATACTTAGTAAAAACATTTATCCACTTTTTCGTTACTGGTGCCCGGCAATAAGAGCTGAAAATTGTCCGCGCACGATTCTATAATTTTCTCTTCTTACGAATTACCTTCGTAATGGCGAGAAAGTAAACATTGCAAAACTCAAGAGCTTTTCCTAAGTACGCATCTCTATATATTTTTTTTTTAGTTTTACTTAATAATGTATTCTTAAGGCGCTCCTCAATCATGCCTTTACTTTTGTTAAACAGTATCCGAAACCCGTGAAAGTTATCACGAGATATCAGACTTAATATGAATAATTTCTCTTCCTGAAAAATTGTGTTTCATGGTAATACTATGTCACTTTGAAAATAAGTTCGTCAATTATGTTCACAACTCGTTATACACATACGCTGTTGCTTTCTGTTAAACGTGTAATATATAAATAGCTTCAATGTCCATTTTTTTGATTCTTGATCTAATAGTTGGGGCTTGTTGCGCTTTAGCAGTCATACTATTTCCACCATTAGAATATACTGCATTAGTTTTGATCACGGTTGGTAACGGTTCTTAATACACCATCGTTACAAAACAAGTACACGTGCAACGTAGACTGCATCAGATTTACGACGAAAAAATGTTTTCACATTATGAATTAAGAAGAAACGGAAGAGGTACAGGCAACTCGTAACGTACGTTTCGCTATAACTCACCTTACCATCGCGCATAAAACGTATGATTTTTTGGAAGGCTTTCTGTTTTGATGGGTATAAATGTGGGGCAACATACGGAGTACGAACATGCTGAAAATTAGAAGGGGGGACAAGAGGGATCTGAGTTATGTTTCGAAAGCAGTATTACACAAAACGATATCCTCTTTTAACTAATTTATTACATTCTTAATGCAGCATGTGACGTGCGGTGAAAGATACGAAACGCAACTGGTACCAGTCCGGTCAGCTGGTGAACTTCGCGCAACAGTTCCACTCAGATTTGGATAGATGTTTCACATTACGCTCCAACGTATCGGAGATTTAGCCCAAAGGGGCACAAATACACCCGTGAAGAGTGGGTATCAAGGGAGGAGCACCATTCTAAAGCATTAATACCTAACCCATTACACACTAATAAGTCAGGCAGTCATGGAGGTTCTAATATCCGTCCGTCGTTACCAGTTACTGACCCATTCCGTCATAACGTCTGGCTGTCCGTCCATCTGTTGGTCCAACCGACCGACCGATCGAATGCCCTTCCGACCGACCGTGAGCAAGACTACAAACATTTCTTACGATTGCACCAAAATCCATTCGATTTGGATGTCGCATCGCATTGAATTTGAAATATTTATTTTCGTTTGTGTGGGAAGGGTATTTTACCAGAAGTCTCTAGAACATTTTCAGAACATTAGCTTTTTTTTAATGTTGAGATGAATATGGCGAAGGCTATAGACTATTTTCATACGTGATAACAAAAATCAGTCAATAATTTCTGCCCGGTGAAAGTAAACACTACTGACTACGATGCCAATGGGATTTTTTCTTACATGATGTGTTTCTCTGTAACAGAACTCAAGAAGTGTGCAATGGACGAAGTATGCGCTGGAGAAGCTATATGGCAACTTACAGACGGAGGGGACTGCAATGGAGATGGCATTGACAACTGCGATGACCGTTTGGCGAGGGTACTCGACCCCATCTGCAACGGTAGTACTGACCCTAGAAAAGGAAGAATCGGTTCCCGGTACTGGAAGTGCCGAACAAATAGGAGAAGTGGTATGTAATAATAATAATTATTATTACTATTATTATTATTATATCAGACTTTTGTTTTGCTCTTTATTTTAAAGATAGAAAATAATAATTAGAAAATAACTATTTCATTTCAATATATTTTATTTGATACATAATAACAGCAACATTTCGGAAAGTAAGTATTTCCATCTTCAAGCTTAAATGTCAAAAACAAATAATTGATATAATATTTTAAACGATGAATAGATGGTCAATTTTTAGTAAAAGAATTACATAACACTGAAATTATATTATTTGTTTCTGACATTTAAGCTGAAAGAAGGAAATTATTATTTTCCGAAACTTTGCTGTTACTCTCCAGCCTTTCTCGTTTACGAGAAAAACAGAGATTTTATGGCTGATAGTGCCTTTACTCCTGACCTAACCCCTTTGCCCCTTTCAACCCTTACGTCTTTTTCGCCCCTTCCTTCATTTTCGTTCGTTTCGTCGTTTTCGTTCCTTTCTTCGTTTTCGTTCTTTTCGTCGTTTTAATTCTGTTTCGCCATTTTCGTCTTATTTGAAAATAAATTACGTTATTGCTTAAACAGAAATAATGAAGATCAATTCCTCCCTTTAACAAATATATTATTCACTTATAAGTGATGTAAATAAATTTAAGTAAGAATTTAGATAAATATTTTATGTACTTTAAATATAATAATTTAAATAAGTAAGCAACATAGTAACGTACGAACGGCATATAGTAAGTACGCAATGAAAGAACGCACAGAGTCCTTAACGCAAACCTGCACAACGCCTGCTCCCGTGCGCATTCTGCATTTACGAGCCGGAGGTCTGCCCGCGAGAGCGATGCAACTTTGCTATTGCACGGTGGGACGGGCACAGCACGTAGATTGAATGACTGGGATTCTAATGCAATGATCCATGCTGCGAAATTATTTTCCCATTTGTTTAAATGGGTAATGTCCCGTATTGGAACATAATTCCCTATATATGTTCTTCTTTGCATTGCTGTGTCATCGACATATTTTTCTTTTTTCAATTTTTTTAGAATTTGCTCGTGGTGACTCATCAACAATGTCGTAGAGTAATAGGCTTTTTAAAAAAGTATTATTTAAATCTACATGCCATTCATTTACAATTCAATAATTTATTTTTCACTAGAAAAGTTATAATCTCCACCAGCTATGAAAACGGAGGAAATTGTGAGAATTGTAACAGAACTATTTAATTATTTTGGATATTTAACTTTTGATTCCATTGCTCCACTTGGGTAATCATTTATAAAAGAACTGCTTCATCATCTTTGAATACTTTCTTTTAAGTGCCACGATGGAGGACCATTTGTAACATACCACCTCTTTTCTACTGATTTTATCAATGCAACAAATATATTTCGTTGCCCTTCTATGCTAACAAATTCTCTCAATGTTAGAATATTATTATATTAAATTCTCTTTTAAATTTAATCATTGTTTTCGACATACAACATTTCTCGTCTTACCTGCGCATGTGCACGTAATTGCACGTAATTTCATTCCGAATCACGATTACTGGAGGTTCTGCAGAACAAACTAATTACTAAATTGATGGCAACTAGCCTGAATGATCAGCATTTTATCTCTTCACAAATCAAATTTAACTTTTATTATAACAATTTTACATAATGTGTTAGATCTCATGAATTAACTGAATAATTTTCTTCATACATACAACATAATTGTACCGTACACTTTTTAAATAATGTTCGAAAGCTTACTGCTAATTTTACGGCTGTACTTCTCGGCTAATCGGAGAGTCGTTTTCAAAGGGATGTCCTCGTTTCTCCTGTTTGGTATTTTTGCCTACCGTCCGAATAAATTGTATATTCTCTAATAATACCCTTAACTATTTTATACTTTACATAATTCAATGATTTCTATTAAAATTACTTTGCGAATGCGACTGACTCTCGCTGGGTTTCGGGTGAAACGACTTTGTGAGACTATTTCCTGTAGACTACTTTTCATTTTTGTTTATTGATGTATTTACATCAGAAATGGCCATATTAAATAGCATTTTGACATTGAAAATCGTATTTTAAGTCCGTGAAAGTTATAATAATAAAAACTTCCGATGTCCTGTTATTACTTGGGAGAGGATTTGCATGGATTTTTTATGAGGATTTTTATGCCGGAAATATGCTATTTAAATATGCATTTATGAACAAAAACGTCTGAAATATGCAATTTAACATGTAATAAAAATTAACAATATTTCATTTCCTGTATTAACCTTTTTTGATAAAATTCCGGAAGTCGACTCTGGTTATAGTGAACATCTGTGGATTAACATTTTTTAGTTCACTATATCAGAGATTGACACCGATGTCATAATTTAATTCTCAAATTTTTACCCGATGATTAATTTTATTAATATAGAGATAAAGATAAATATAGTAATAGTACGAACTGAAATTTTCAATATCTTTATTTGTCCTAAAAAAAACACAATAATTTTCAATTATTTGGCTCGTACATTTTTCATTAGAAATTTCTCTAGATCCTTCTCCAAAGTTCGTGCATTCTCAGAATTTGATTCTGCATTGTGCTCTGTCCCTAATAATCGTAATGCAGTCTTGGCGCCCTTCAAAACCTCTTGAACTGTTGGAACCCTGTCCCACTCTCCGAAGGCGCCTTTTATTAGCCTAATTACATAGGAGATCCCTTCGGTTGCGAGATGATACAATTAGCCAATGAAACCGATCACTTTTCCGGGCAGCACGGTGGGTATCTCCAGACTCTGGGGCTGTTGCAGATGCGCGCTGCCGACGCATACGTAGAACTCTACTTGTTTTGTCCCGCGGAATATCAAGTAACACCAAGCTTGAAACTGACGCAAGAAATCGCGCGTTGCCATCGCCAGTTCCCTCGCAGGACGTGGTGTTTGTTTCCGCAGTGAAACAGTGAGACATAAGGCAATCAGTAAGGTCCCCATTCCGGGTCCGCAGACTCACACCGGGACCGCTGACGCTGACTTCTTCGATTTTCACCTTTGGCCGACGCTGCGAATGTTGTAATTTGTGGTACTAAGGCGTTATATTCTTTTAAAGGAAGGAATTAATTTTGAGGACGTACTTACTACGTTCACTACAGCCGAGGTTCAGGTCCACTATATACGTAAGCAAAGATTCATTACATCCGAGATTACCACAATCGGAGTCAACTGTACAATCTATCTTACATCGCGAGAGAAATAATTGAAATAAATATTCACCTTAGTGAAGTGCTCTCATCAAAATGAAATCTGCTCCCTAGGTATTACTTATGAGATCATTGATAAATGATACCGGATCACTCAAATGGTTAATGATAATGGGTATATCTCTTCATTCAGCACTTTTAGGTCTCAGGAACGAGCATACAAAAGCATCGCAAAGCACCAGCAAGAGCAAGAACGAGCGAGAGAGAGAGAGAGAGAGAGAGAGAGAGGGTGAGAGAGAGTAGAGAGAGAGAGTAAGAGAGAATGCCAAAAATGCAATATTGTCGGCGTCGGTTATCTTGGAATTACTATAAGGTGTGTCTTCTATGGCATCCGCATGTTTGATCATTCTCACTGACAACACAAAGAACTTATTCTCGGTTTGTTTACATTTCCCCTGCAACGAGAACATGATAAAGGACCCTGTGGTAAAATCTCAGTTTAAAAACTTTTACATGGGGAGCAGGGCAAGTAGGGAAATAAGGACTAGTAAATTGGTTTTATAGAATTGTCCTACATTAGGTTCTCTGACTCAAGGGTGCATTGACTCTTCGCAAAACGGGAAAGCGGAGTCTCAATATTGGCGAATTTTCAAAATTAGCTAAGTATCTAAGGAATTGTTGGTAACAGCCTTGATGAGAATTGATGAAGCTGGCTTCTCTGATGTGTGTTTTTTATGATATTCTTTGAGTAGTCTAGTCAAATGCTGAAGGACTTTAACAACGGGTTACAAACCACATCCATCCCAATATATCACCCTATTTTGCGCATACCTTTGCTTCAGTCCTTAGGATCTCACGTGATAATCTCCATCTCCCTATGTTCCATGCCTCATGATCATTCAATCTGCCCTAGTATAATAGGAGTGAGTTTTCTTTATATTCACAGTTTGATTAGCAATACATATGTATTTCAAAATATCCTTCGTTTTGATTTCAGATTTTGCGGATGTTTTGGTCGGGAATAAAACAGCTCGGTATTTCTGTGAAAATGACCTGCCAAGGAAAAGATCGTGGGCTTCTCCTATATATTTAGACGAAATTTCGCCGTATCTTCCCACAGTTTCCACAACACCACTACCACATTCAACGACCATGCCTTCTTTAGTGCCCACCACAACACCACCATTACCTTCAACAACTCCAAAACCCATGTCTCAGGAACAAGCCGTCATGACGCTTCACAAATTAACGATAAACCCGAACGCAACCTTCACTAAAGACGAAATGGAGGATATAGTAAGAAACGTGAGCAAGCTTTTGAATGTAGGAGAGCAAGCTCTATTAAAAGCACAAGTAAGTATCGACTGGAATAGGTAACAAAAAGTTAAATACATCCTCTCCTGAGTTTGAAGCATTAAAAATTTGAAACAATACGGACAACTACTATACACTATTACGTTGACGAACAGTTTAGTTTATTTCCATATATGGATCATATCCCTTTTTAAGAAGGATTGAAAAGTTATGAATTTTTATCTACCCTAATGTTTCAGATATAATAAAGCACTATTTGTTTAGCATCAGGGTTATAGTGATAAAGTTAAATAATACGTTCATGAGTTATAATTTTAAGCCTGAAATATTGAATTTAAATATTGAAAAAAGCTCTAGATTGTTGATTATTAAAACTCAACTAATTTTACAATAAATATATATCTTGTGTGTAGATATCTTATATTTTTTTAAAATTAACACCTAAACAAGATTTTCAGTTCTTTAAGGGTGAGTGACATTTTAAACCTTTAAATGAAAGGAAAGTCGTGTGTTTATTTGGCATAACTTATGAATTCTTGAATGAGAGTTAAATCTTTGAAATGAAAACCAAGATTTAAGACACAGGTACAACAAGAAATAACCAGAAACCATTTTCTGAATACGGACCCCACTAAAGCATAATAAAAGTGGTCTTTTTTTATATAATTAAAATACAAAGAATTTAAAGAGGAATATTTTAGAGGGTTTAATCTTTATTCACAATTTCAACAATACCAGAAAAGTAACCAAAAGTAAGTGTTCTTTACTTTGTATTCAGATGGAAGCTAACGTCTCATCCTTAGCACAACTTCTAGAAAACGTATTGGTGCACGCTCCCGATAACTTCAATTTGACAACCGACAAACTCGCAGTCAGCAAAGAAAAGGCCATCGGTTTTCAAATAGTGCTCTCTGACGAACCTTCGAGCACAGGTGATTCGTTCGGACCTGCAGCGAGGCAAATTCCTCTTAAAGATGAATCGGAATTGCGTAGGTACAGTAAGAAAGTAAGTATTGAGCTTCTTGCTGTCAGATAAGATTTACATAACTACAATAATAAGTATATCAGTATCTCCATATACTAATAATCCAATAACTCCATAGAACTAATAGCACAGGGGAGAGAAGAAGACTTTTAAAATAATATTAATCACAATATTATTATTTTAAGATTTTTGTAATAAACATAATACTTTTAATTTTTGTTAAATGACTAGATTATAATTTTTTGTGTTCTCGTAGACGTGGTATACATCTCTGACAGTGTGTCTCTTCCTGGCTACCTATCACTCTTTCGTCTGTGTTATTCTATGAATTACCTATCATCTTCATTAAATATTTTTAAGAGTTAAATATTTTGAATTGTCACAAAGTTTTCGAATCTTTCGAGAATATTTGTATTTTTTCGAAACTCCCGCGCTTCCTCAGAGAGGTTTAACTCCCAAACTTATATAGGTTACATTTATGTTACGAATGTACGAATGTTTAACACATTTGTACCCACTAAACTCTAAACTGCCCCTTATCTTGCAAATTAACTTGAAATCTAAATAGATTTTACTTTTTAAGTGAAGTCAAAAAGGCGTGTTGTCAGAAACGCTCAAACATTTTTTCCAAAATCTGAAGTGGTTATATTAAAGGGAATTCCTTTTTGCACACCATTTAAACTTATTTCACGTTTGGCGTCCAATACTTCAAAAGTTTCACCCATGTAAATTACAACCAGTAATCCAGAGACATCATTCCTAGGAAAGCTAATACAAGAATAATAATTCCATGTCGTCTATTACAGTACCACTTGAAAGGAATCTCTTCAGTTTCAGGTTGAAGCTGCCGTTATTTTACCCGATCTACCAGAAAACGTTTCATTGGTGGTTGTGACGTTTGCCAACAGTAACGATTTCGTACCTTGTAGACCACCGCTAAAAATGGGAAATTATACTAATTCAAATAATAGAAGTGCTAGCGATGTCGGTGCTCCGAGTAATTCACCCTACACTGCAAATGAAACCATTGGATCACCGCTCATGGAATCTGGAAATGAAACGTTTGAAACTATTCACACAGACGTGTCTAAGAAATATTGTCCTTTCCAAGCAGGCATCGTTATCGGGTGCATCAACTCCCACATTTTGCAAGTGGGTCTGTTGAATAAAAACGGCTCATACCAAAGGCTGCCTGACGGGAAACATGCTGACCTTATATTTAGAACGAAGACAAATGCTTCTCTAGGACAGACCAAGACGTGCGTTTACTGGGATTTTGAGAAAAGTGAGTACCATTAAACCACTCTTAAATGTTCACAAATCAATGTACGCCTATTTTCATTCCTTACGTACACTTAACACATTAGAGTGCAATGTAATACATCTTGTGAAATAATGCCCAGCAGCTTGAAAAATATTTTATAGCCTTGCCAGGCGCTGAAAATACATTCCGCTACGTACTTAATCATTGATAACCTAAACCCCGCCAAAAATCAAGAGAAAATGCTATAATGCCATCAATTGTTTTAAAAATGCCGTAAAAGAATTTCATTATAACTAGTGAAGCAGTTGGTATTACTGACGTAATCGATGCTTCTTCCTCTCGTTTAAGTGAACTCAGCTTGCAAATGGTTTTCTATGTTCTTTACCAGTCTCTCTGTATCTAGTTATCGGCCGAAAAGACAATGGCGCTGATGGACGCTGTCACTGAACGTTGACTTCTCATTTTAGAGGGCTGGGCCTCGCACGGCTGCAAGTTGGTGCACCAAGAAAACGGCCTCGACACGTGTCGCTGCACGCATCTCACGCACTTCGCGCAGCTGGTGACGGACGGCGACGCCGTGACGGGGCCACACGCCGACACGCTACGCGTGCTAAGCGTGTACGCATGCGCGGTGTCCGTGTTCGCCTTGTGCGGGGTGCTCAGCGCCGGAGCCTTCTCTCGGAAATGGCGAGAGAAGAAAGAGAACAAGGTCCTTGACCACTATCTATCTATCTATCTATCTATCTACCCCCTCTCTCTCACATATATATACATATATATATGTGTGTGTGTGTGTGTGTAAAGAAAATATTGAATGAGTGGTACGATTGTTGAAAGATATTTAAATACGAAAGACATTTAAACAAAGTCGTTAGTAACATGAATCATACTTCAAGATCGCCAGTACCGATTTTAATTTTTATTGATTTGTTGTATTCATCTCCGCCCGAATAGCAGACAAATTATTAAAATATCGGAAAAATTCACTTGTTGGCGCTGTAGAACTAAACTATATATTTATATCAGAATCAACCCTCAACACAGTCCGCAAGACGTTTTGAATCTATACCATTAAATAACTCCTAAACGAAGCGTTGTAGGGCATTCAAAGCTAACCTTCTGAAGACAATGGTCTCAAAGAAACGTTTCTCACGCAGTAATCTACAGAATGAGCAATCATTTTCAACATTCTATTACATTTTTTCTGGAAAGAGTGGGGAGACAAAGAGAGAGATGGCGTATGCCGCGTTCAGCTACTTTTACATAAAATGAAAGATCATTCTTCGGAATTGGCAATACTTAATTTTGTTGTTCAACTATACACTGTTTGGTTCTGATTTGGACATTTATCAGGCCCATAACAAAGTATAAGTTCACAAAACAAATGTCGTAATCCACTAGCTGTACGATACGTTATTTACAGATTAATGCTTGTATTAAATGTTAAAAAAAGATAACAATTAACAATAGTTAAATCATACATCATTAGATATCGTTTGGACAACAGCAAGTCACTTTAACAATGTGCTTTGTCCAGCATTCAAGTATTCTCATAGTATATGTGTGTACATATTTTCAATATTGCGGCATGATAATAAAACCCAAAACAAAAAAATAATTGCATTTATTTTCACATTCATTACTTTTGTGATATTGTAACATAAACTTTAGCTCCACGGCAACTTATCATTTAAATAAGTAATAAAGAGCAGCGGCCTATAAAAACCGACATTAAAAAAATTGTGGTTTTATATATTTTTTTGTAAATACTCCCTTGATAGATATACTTCTTTGGTACCTAACAAAACAAGAAGAGTATCTATCGTTGTCTGCGCGCATCGGCAACTCTTAATGAAGGCAGACTGACAATTGCTGCGTGCTGTCGCCGGTTGCAGATCATGCTGCAGCTAGCCGTCGCCCTGTGCGCGTTCATGCTGCTCTTCCTGTGGTCGGCCATCTTCTCGAAGCCGCCGCTCAACGTGCACCGCTGCAAGCCGCCGCCGCCGCCGTCGGCGGCGTGCCGCGCGCGTGGCGCCGCCCTGCACTACGCCGTGCTCAGCAGCTTCTGCTGGATGCTGGTGGAGGCGCACACCCACTACATGCGCCTCAGCTCGCCCTCGGGCATCGACGTGCCGCGCTTCGTGCTCAAGGCCGCGCTCGTGGGCTGGGGCGCGCCCGCCGTGGCCGTCGCCGCGGTGGCGGCCGCCCACGCCGACACCTACGCCGGCAAGGGCCGCGACTTCTGCTACCCGTCGGGCGCCGCCTTCTACGCCGCGGTGCTGGCGCCCGTGTGCGCCGCGCTGCTCGCCAACGCCGTCGTCTTCGCGCGCGTTCTGCGCCTGCTGTTCCCGCGACTGTGCGGCTGCGTGGCCGCCGCCGGCGCCCAGGCGCAGCGCCCGCCCAGGCGCTCGGGCGTGGACGAGTGGCGGCTGCTATGCCGGAAGCTCATCGTGTGCGTGGCCTTCACCTTCCTGTTCGGCCTCACGTGGTACGTGGGGCTGCTGTGCTTCACGGAGGAGGCCGCGTACTTCTTCTGCGTGGTGGTGATGCTGCAGGGCCCGGCCCTGTTCGTCTTCTTCGTCCTCGGGGAGGAGAACGTGAAGAGAAGTCTGAAATCGATCGTTCGGAGACGGATCAGGCCGAGCGAACATAGTTCGGGTGGGACGAGTGCTTTGTCGAAGTCAAAGACCGACCGACTGCATGTTCGGCCGGACACAATTCCCCTGTCTCAATCGTACAATAGCTCCACAAACACTTCTCCAGTATCTGAGACTACGCCTTCCACGGAGTTACGCTCCTTCGAATGAACTCTCGCTGCTCACTTATTTGCAAACCATTGATTTCTAAAAGTATTTCATGCAATATTTTGGTGAGTGCTGATTATAAAAGAAATAAATACGACTCTTTTAAAAATGTATAAATATATGAAGCACTTTCATACGTTTCTCATTGCGCATGATGTTCCTACAACAATAGTTCGTGTTCGTTGTATGAAATTTTGAATTCAAGACGAAAACGTTTATTAAAGACTTCAGCTAAGTCGTAAATAGTCTTTTATATTCTGAATATTGTGAAGAACTAATTTATATTGTATGTATGTAGGGTGTATACGTTATTGACTAGTCGGTTTGATTGTAATACAAATATTATTGCAGAGACTGAAAATAACTGTGTGGAAACTATTTGTGTGTATCATTGCAGTATTAAAACCAAGGGATGAAACAAATGGGAAGCGTGGCGATCCGAAGCAATTCTTAAAACGACGGCTATTTTTTACATTCAACACACTACTGGAAACGTAATTAACTAAAGCGGTTTCGGTTTTTAAAATGTCATCTATGGCTAGAAGCTAAGTTAGTTGCAGATTTACTTTTATTAAAAAGATGGAATAATCCTTTGTTAATCGAAACATTTTCTATCAAAAACCGAATCCGAAATATTTTATTAACCAATTTATTATTTAAAACGATTTCATGCCTTGATTATAATACGTAAATATCGATGTTATATAAAAAATAAACTTGTCAAGAAAAAAATGAAATGCACCGAAAGATACGTGTTTGTTCAGTTAGCAACATAAGTGAGTTTATTATTTAATTTCAATTTTCCTTTTTTAAGTATTAGATGATAATGATCTCAAGGGTACAAAGTAACATATTGGTAAACTCTATGAAGTGTTAATTGAGATATAGCTTTAGAAAGTAACGCTATCCACAAATTGCTGTAATATTATTGTATATAGAACAAAAATTTGTGCTCTCATTTCTGAACGTAAAGTTAAACTCTTGGAACCAACAAATTTACTTGGTGATTGCCATTGAACTTCCATTAAAAAGGCTTCAAAAATCCAAATTTGTCATTTTAAATCATATTTCTCCACACCTTTAATTTCTGATCTCATATGTACGAATTTTCCTAAAAAACTGTATGTAACATTTAAATTGACTACCTTTTGTTGTAATACATATTATATTAATAACTTAATTTACATTTACTATGATGTATTTTCCTTTCGAAAGCCATACTTCCTTCCGAGTGCGATGTCTCAGCTATCTGCACGACTACGTCAACATAAAATACTTTGCCATCGCATTAATTACAAGTGTTTATTAGGGCGAAGGCAAATAAGGTTCTTTTCGTTGTATTAACTTGTGTTTAGCAAATTTTGACAAGAAATTCATTAAATCATAACAATGCATATTAATAAAATAATATTAATAATGCAGACATAATTGATAATGATTAATTAATGCGTTTATCCTTTGATTTTTTGCTCATTAATTCAAACATTTGATGATAGATCCAAGGGATTTTGAATGTTTATGAATTTCATTATTTAACGCTCAACGCCAATACAAATGGCTCTTAGATGGGGATTGAGAGTTATATAGAGTAAATAAATTAACGCTATGGCGCATACGCGACTCGTTGGCCGCCTTCCGGCAGACCGAAGAGTCCGGAGTACCTCGAGATGACGTGAAGGGCGGGGAGAGGAATCCCTTGAGCTTTTTTTCTCGCGGCGAAACTCTGGATTTAATGTAACAATGTCAATCCAACTTGTTACATTTATATATGCCACCTGCGAAGATATTGAAAAGTAGTGACGAACAACTGGTATTCTTGTTATCTGACACCGGCGAAGGTAGCTCAACGCATCAACTGATGTCACTGCAGTGCCTCTGACCGGGAGGTTCTAGTATTAGAGTCCCGACAGTGGCAGAATGTTCGACGCTAGCTTGGACGCTGCTGTCCGGAGCGGCTATATGCTCTGATCGGGAGTTTTCGGTCGTTGCTACTAACAGAACCAGGCGAATGCCGAAGCAGTACCCTAACAAACTTGCCACAGACCGAGCGCGATATTTCCTTCCTCTTCCTTGTCTTATCCCTAACACTTACACTCGCATGAACTATACTACATATGCCAAGAGAGTAATCGGGAGCTTAGAGTTTGCCGAGAGACCAGTCCCGGCTTGGGCGGTGCTCCGCTGGTGGGAGATACCTGGTTGGGGAAGACCCTTACAAGCCGATATAGGTCGACGCTGGATATCGTCAGTTACCTGTTAAAGACCACCGCCACCTCCTGCGATAAAAGCATGCATCACTCTTACGGGAATAATGCCTTTAGTAGATGACACGCCCGAAATCACAAATTCTTAAATCAATTGTAATCTAACAGCATCTAAGCAATATTTACTGTGCTGTTCTCCACTCCTTTGGTGCTTCCGCTCTCATTAATGTCAAGGCTTGTGTTGTGCAATATCACAGCGGATTGTAACCTCGAGTAAAATTAAGTGAAACAGTCTATAGAATAGCATATTCATCTATTATCCCTTGGTCTCCACTAAATTCATTTTTCGTTATCTGGACGTTCTCGTGGGTACAAAAAATTGGCGCAGTCACATATCATTCAATGTAAATGAAGTCAATAGCTAAGTTACGTCCGATTCGGAATCACAAGTATTCTATAAGGGGACCAGGAAGTCCCTCTGCCACTAATGTTAAATTGGGTGATGTTTAAGGAACACTTTCTCACCAACTGCTTAACTTAGGGAGATCAGATTTTTACTAGAGGAAGAATTAATATTTTGTAAGCTCTGAATTAAGAGTTTTTGAAATAAATTATTTTATGAGATCATTCTTTTTGTATATTTTATATTTTCCCTCCAGTACAACAAGGCATTTTGTTGAATAAAATGTCAAAATATTAACTTTATTTAATTTTTTAAAATTCAGCTTATGTTTATTATACTATACGAATAAGTATACTTTATGTATATTATAACTAAATAATGCAAATTTCAACTTCCTTTGTTAACTATTAGAATTTGAGAAAATGTTCCTTATATATATTTGAAAAAAAAAAACAGACTTACGGGAGACTGCTTCAAATTTTAAGTAATTTTGCAATTTTTTGCATAACACATAATCTGACAAAATACCAGATAAAATAGACGTATCAGTAAGTTCAAAAAGTCTACGGCAAAATGTCAAACGCAAATTTACTGTATTAATCATCCCCAAATATTTTTTTTTCTGACAAACATACTTGTGGCACTGTAACACTGTGAAAGTGATAATGACAGAAACATAGCACAACACTGTTTTATTACGCACTGTTTCGCCGTTCTTCTCCACGGCAAGTTCCCTTCGCCAATTTACGCGCTTTATAGAAAGCCTATTTATATGTCATGGCATTTTGTTACACACATGGGAACACAACCCCAAAACTGATGCTTTGAAAAGAACAAATGAATGGTTGAGACAGGCTAGCCGATTTAGAAAACATACACACTGTAAGAGTGCGTATGATTCGTTTATAAACGGGCCACGAGCTTTATTGATGAATAAGAGAAATGAATAATAATTTGAGAGTTTGACTTGGAGAGAATACACGTGAACTAATCGAAGCCAGTATTCTCTTCTCAGTAATATCCCCCGAAGCAGTTGGTATTTCACATAAAATAATCTTTGCTGTTCTGAGTTGAACAAATCTGTATATCCAACAATACCATTATCTTCCAGTTCTTGATTTTAGTATTTTATTAATAAATCACACGTTTCTTCTTGTTTAAACTGTTTAATTCTGTTTAAGATACTCTTGCAAATATGCAGTACTCCTGCATTGTATAGAAGTATCTGTGTTTGGATTTCTTTTCATCTAGGTTTTATGATTTGCTTCATGATAATTAAGAAAATTACGACCTGAGAAAATTGTTACTAGTAGCATTTGCTTATTTTCCTTAAAATTTTACGTTATAAAGATTTTAAAAGTAATTATAGAATTAAAAAGACAAACGACATCTAATTAATGTATCAGTGAATAACTTACCCTTAATAAATCATTGAACGTCGATTATAAACTATGCATAAATCTGGGAAACAAAATTCCATCCTGTAATAAACATTTCTTCACTTAAATATTGTAAATGCAAATTTTAAAGTTAAATCAATTTCGATATTTGTATTTTGATTGTACTCATCAAATATACAACTTCATTTAATTAGCTAAAAATAACAATGCATCCCAGAAAAATCCCAAAATTTGGTTCCAATTGTGAATCGAATTGTACATAGAATGAATATTTCTGAGCAGTTAATGAACTATGAGAATTTTGTCACTAAACTGAAGAGTTCTAAATAGTAACTGTTCAAAATAGTGACTAGTAGGTTTTGTAAATTTTATTGACTAATAAAATACAACATATCGAGCACTATAATAAATCTTATGGGAACAAGACAGAAGCAAAAATTGCTTGTTTTTAGATCGAAATTTCATATCGCATGAGAAACGACAAAGTGTTCCGTGTTCACGAATTACGTGAATGTAATTTGTTTTTGCAATGACTTCTTTAGGATTATCTTCTACTTCGAGCAACCCATTCCTGGCCGATTATACAGCCATTGGAAAGTCTCTCCGTCGAAGTAGGTTCTCACATCTACGGTCACTTGTATCTCACAACTTCCAACTAGGGATGCAATATTGATGTCGATGTTTTTGTAGAGACAACGGTGTTTTAAAAACTAATGCATTAAAGACGATTTTTTAACATCAATGTTTTGTGCTCGTTTTGTACGGTTTCGATTTCTTATTGTCACAATACTGTAAAAATTAAAATATGAAATAATTAATGATGGTAAGACAGTTAGTTGATGTGCTCAAACCAAAAAGCTGTCTGCAATATCTACATCGAAGGAATTATCTCCTGGACGACGTTAATGTATCCGGCCACTGTCAATACATTTTGTTTCGGAAAAAATTAAGTTTATAAGTTAACTTAACCACCGTTAAAACACTGTTTAATGTATTATTGAAATCAATGTTTTAATTTCGAACAACGATGTTAGATAACACCCACATTTTGTTATCGATGTTATCAATACTTCCAGTTTCCCAAGATGGGTGATCCATAGTATTCAAACGCCCACATGTATGGCACTTCTTTCAAGAATGGCGCTTTTCTATAACACCGAAATTTGCGAGATGAAGATTTTTTCCCAACAAAAAAATATCGTTTTAGACACACTTCCACTACAAACACCACACACGCAACTGCTTGAAGTAGCAACAACATCTGGAATGGCCCAGACAGTTGTGTCATTCGCAGAGGATCTGGGTCTGCAGAGGATTTACCGGTCTCAAAGCGAACGCCATGTACAGTCATGCGATAAAGCAGAGTACTAATCCACTGATCATGCAGCCCAGCCTGCACAATGTGCAAAGCGAAACGATTCAGTACATCGTATTTAGGCATATTCTTTTTCACGGGAAAGCTGAGATGTCCTGGAGGATTTACACACTGCGGTACTAACCGAAGCATTCTCCGTCCGTTCTCACTTAGGACTTCGCTTCCAGCACGGAAATCGTACACTGTTCGCGGCATCAAGTAGCCGTCTTTACCGTCTTTCACGATGTCCTTTAATCTGCTTTCCGATTGCGCAGGCGTTTCTTGAATTAACTTTCCATCCAACTTGCGAAGCACGCCGTCGGCTTCGGGATCGTCGAACAGATGGTGCAGTCTAGTGTACGAGTACAAGTTGCGAATGACGCGTTCCGCCTCCTCCAAGGTCTGCGGCTCCGCGTGCCGAGGGGGGTGAGCTAAAAAGCCCAACAGCTGCCCGGTGTAGGCGTTGCTCAGCACCAAGGAGAACAGCAGAAACGCGATGAGCACGAACCGTTGGGACGGATGCCGGGTGGCGCGAGAGCAGCAGCATGAAAACAGCAACTCGAGGACGTCCAGCGCAGCGCGGCAGGCTCCGTCCCAGCAACTGCGCGATGCCGATTTTAATTCCCCTGTGCGACCAACACGGTGCGTCAGATGCCACGCAGCCGTCGTGGCCAGCATCGAAACCAGAATTCCGAACCACACACTGGCACGGTACGGTAGAAGCAGCACAAGGTTGAAAGAAATGATTTTCGCCTTACGAACTACTATGCAAGAAGGCGACTGCCCGACTGTAGCAGTATAGTCCATGATTTTGTATCTTCCTGGGGTTATGTACAGCCGGTTGAAGGAAAAATCAGCCGTTCCATTCGATATAAATTCCAGCATTGTTGTGTAACTTGTAATATTGAAGGGAAGAACCGGCTTCAGTTCAAAACCTGTGATTCGTTGAAACTCGAGAGTTGTCTTGTAGTCAGCTCCATCGAATTCTTTTTCTCCAAATTTATTTTCCCAGAAAGATGAAAATGGAAACATTGCAGTAGAATGCGTCATAAAGGTCACATAACGTTCTTTGAACAATGAGTTTCTTGCCTTTGTGTTTGTTTCATTACAATTATTAAATATATCAACACAAGTCTGAGATTTTCCCAATGTCTCATAATAATTTGAAATATTAGAATAAGAAGCCGTTACGTTTATAGAGAGAAATATTTTCTTTGCGTTAATATTCATTGAAAATGCGATCAGTACTAGCAAACAAACTGTATCAATAAACATGCCAAACACAAATTTAAAATACGCATTTTTTTAAAACTATAAAAGGTTTTTTCGCATTGTTACTCTATTTGCAAAATGACTTTTATTCTTAACTACTCATTCTAGCATGC